ATTCCTGTAAGAGTGGCACTGCGATGTCGCCCTCTGGTCCCCAAAGAGATTAATGAGGGCTGCCAGATGTGCCTTTCCTTCGTACCCGAGGAACCTCAGGTGCGTAGCGAGTCCTGGGCCTGCCTCTGACCAGCTGGGGCCAAATGGCAGTGAGGGGCGTGGTCTGGCCTTTCATTTTTTTTCTTACTCCTTGTCCCTTGCCTTCTCTAGGTGGTGGTTGGTACTGACAAATCCTTTACCTACGATTTTGTGTTTGACCCCTCTACTGAACAGGAGGAAGTATTCAACACAGCAGTAGCACCACTCATAAAAGGCATATTTAAAGGTGAGGCTGTTTGATTCTTCAAACGGTTCTTGAGCATACACTGTGTTAGGCACTGTGATTGCATGCTGCCAATACAGGAATGGATGAAGCATGAGTCCTGCCTTCAAAAAGCCCACAGCCTAAGAACTAACCCAATATCACTTGTACCCTTGAAACTAGTTTTATACTTTATTTGCTTTCTATGGTTCTGCTCATCTTTGACTTGTATATGTTTCTGTTTGTTTGTCCTGGAACCTCATTAGACTCTAAGCTGTTTGATGGGTGCTGATGAGGATCTACTTGAGGCCTAGGCACTGCAAAGCCTGTTGAGGGATTCAAAGATAACATAGCTTCTGGGCTCTGGAAGAGTTCAAAGTCCAGGGGTAGGAGTGGAAATAGATGACTACATACATACTTTTTAAAAAATCTTTTTATATTTTATTGACATTTATCACTTGTGTTTTTTCTTTTGTGAATTTTAAATTTATTTATTTATTTATTTGGCTGCGTCAGGTCTTAGTTGCAGCACACGGGATTTTCATTGCTGCGTGCAGGATCTTCGTTGCAGCATGTGAACTCTTAGCTGCAGCCTGTGGGATCTAGTTCCCTGACCAGGGATCGAACCAGGGCCCCCTGCATTGGGAGCGTGGAGTCTTAGCCAGTGGACCACCAAGGAAGTCCCCATACTTTTAACTACATTAGAAATGTTAAACTTCTTGTTCCTATCTTTAAGAAAAAGTATTTTAAAAGTTAAAACCTTTGAGATTTCCTAAAGCCCCCGAATACCTTGGCCAGTTAATAATCTTGATTACAGAAGCTAAGGCTTTAGTGTTATTGAAGACCATGGCAAAGTTCTGAAGAAGGGAGCGGTGTCTAGTTGTTATTCTAGTACAGTGGTTATTCAGGATTCAAAGCAGAGGGTTATTTAAAAGAAGTAGAACCATGGCATACTAGTTCCTTAAAGTTGAAAGGGATATTTGTACATCATCTAGTCTAACTTTCCATCCAAAGAAAAATACTTTCTAGCAATATCTCTAAGTGAACTTCCAGCATCTGGTTAAAATTTTTTTCTTTGACAGGGATATCACTGGCTCATAGGGTAGTCCTGTTGATTGGTTTTGGACAACTCTAATTGTTTTAGATTATATTGAGATGAAATTTGCTTTCCCATAATTTCTGCCCAATGATGTTAGTTCATCCCTCTAGACAAACAGAAGCCTTCTTCCAAGCAACAGCTATTCACATTTTTTTTTTCACTTCTTAAAATGATGTCATGGCTCAGGACACATTGAATACTTTGTTTCAAATTTTTAAACTATTAAAGCAGTAATCTCAAACTTACAGAAATGTTGCAAGAACAGCATAAAGAACTTTGTTTCCCTGAACCATTTGACTTGAGTTGTTGACCTGATGGCCCCCTGAATACTTCAGTGTATATTTGCTACAAACAAGAACTTCTGTCCTACTGTCCTATGTAACTACAATATGACCATCAAAATCATGAAATTAGCATTGCTACCTCACTACCATCTGGTCCTCAGACTTCATTCAAGTTTCACCAGTTGTTCCAATAATGTCCTTTGTTGCAAAAGGATCTAGTTCAAAATCATATGTTACGTTTAGTTGTACTACTTCTATAGTCTCCTTTATTATAAAACTCCTTCAGTCTTCTTTTGACTTTCATGATCATGACACTTTTGAAGATCACAGGCCAGTTATTTTGTAAACTGTTTTTCAATTTTGTTTTGTCTGAAGTTTATGATTAGATTCAGGTTGTATCAATATATCTTTAGCAGGAATATCACAGAAGTGATGCTGTATTCTTCTCATTGAATTCTATCAGGCAGCACACAATTTTGATTTGTTCCATTACTATTGATGTTCATTTTGATCCTTTGATTAAGGTGATGTCTGCCAGACTTCTCCACTATGAAGTTAATCTTTTTCCTATTTACATATTTGGAGGACCATTATTTGATTCTAAGTCTCTTCTAATTAACCATCCCTCCTTTCCTTTAGCCATTCCTAAAAAAAAAATATGGTATCCAGACCCTTCATTATCTTGTTATCTTCCTCAGAATGTACCTTTCACAGCTTAGTAAGAACACTATAGTTCTACTTTAGTATTCTTAACTTGGGAAACTATGAGAATTATAGTTTTTAGAGGCAGTATAAAGTAGAAAGTGATTCCAATATCTGTGTGTTTTGTTAACATTGCTGTCAGTTGCAGAGATAAAGCCAGTATTTTTCAGTCAGGTCAACAGCACACTGAGTTTTTGTAAAAAGTACTGAAACTTGGTTTCCCCACTTATTACTATATATACATATCTGTGGTATTACAAAAGATTATGGAATATTATTCTCTTGTCCCAGAGTCATGCCATGTGATATTAGCAATCTATTACAGTGAAAATCTCAATTTAACATTTTAAGATCTTCCAGAACATCAAGGTCTTCATTTAGGTGAATAAGTTCTTTCAAAAAGAAAAAAAAGCAAAGGACATATATCACATTGAATCATACTTAAATGATGACATTTCTATGAGGAACCTGATAATACGGTCCAAATGCAGTCTGAGAATTCATATAGGGAGGGATGCTTTCATTGACTGTAAAAAGCAACTTTGTTGCCTTTTCAAATGAAGACTCTGTTAATCAAAGAAATACAGGTTGGAATCCCTTCTATTTGCAGCTTCTAAAACTTTCATTTAATTGCCCTAATTTAGAATTTTTCCAAGTGAGAGAAAGTAGAATTATAAAACTCTGAATGGCTTTTAGACAGTGACTTGGCCACCTTCATTATCTCAGTCATATCTTTAAGTGTTTTACTTCCTAGCTTTTAAGGGCTATCAAGAGAGGTACACATTCAGGTTTGATATTTTTCTTCTTTGCTTATTTGGAGTAGTGCAAAGTCACGGCACTCATATAACTTTTCTTTGTGTCTGACATTCCTAAGAGACCCTTGTGTTTAGAGAGCAGTCTCAATTTTGTTACAAGTAATTGCTGAAGGAAGTAGAGTGTATTGATGGGTTGAAAATATTTGAGCATCACCGCGCATGTGACTTCTATTTTGTCAGGATACAATGCAACCGTCCTGGCCTATGGGCAAACTGGCTCTGGAAAAACCTATTCGATGGGAGGTGCATATACTGCAGAGCAAGAAAATGAACCAACAGTTGGGGTCATTCCTAGAGTAATACAGCTGCTCTTCCAAGAAATTGATAAAAAGAGTGACTTCGAATTTACTCTGAAAGTATCATACTTGGAGGTAAATGATTTATCTTTAATTATTCTGAATTCAAATTTATCTTTGGGTAGAAAAATAAATAAAAATCAGGTTTTTCCTGGCATGACTCAAATGAATAAATTGCATTTTTAGTAAATTGCATTTTAATAAATTGATAGAGAAAACTTACTGGCTCAGTTGGATCTGGCTCCCACCCAGTTCTTTCCCTGTTGTCAGAATAGTCTGTTTAATCCGATTGTTAGAGGAGTTGGCATTCCCATATAAAAAGATAATAGGAATCCTTTAATTCCATTTTGGCCTCTATTATTGATTCCCTGTAGAGTCTGTAGAAGAATATTTGATATCCCTTTAGTGTTTCAAGGCTTGAGTGATAATGCTGCTACTCCATGAAGAATGTTATAAAAATTGGGTGAAGTATTGAGCTGTGTAAGTGATGACAGAGTGTTCATTCAACAGATATTTATTGAGAACCTACATGTTACAGGCCCTGTTCTAGGTATTTGGGATATATCAGTGAACAAAACAGAAGTCCCTGCCTTTGTGGGTATTTTCATTCAATTATATATCAGTATACAAGTAGACTGACCAGTTATATCTAACCTCATGACACCAGAAACACATAGTTAGGGAACTTATGGCTTCTGGGAAACTAGCTGGTTGATTCCATAGCAGTGATAAGATGTCTTATCTTTAAGGAGCAATAATTAAATGTATATAATTTAAACATGCAATTATAAATAGTATGTGAATACTTCATCCTGAAGTTGAATCTCAACATGTTAGTTGGTCTAGGAGGTATAGAGGTGGAAGATGGGGAGTTAAACATCATTAAGATTAACCTTCTTGAAACTCTCGATTAACCCAGTTGTGGCCAAGGTGACCAAATGTAAAAATAACTTAGGAACCTGCTATATTAAATAGTAGCAACAGCAATAATAGCAAACAAACGTGGTGCTTACTATGTGCAAACACTGTTTTAGTACTTAAAGTTCTGGTTGTTGAAATATTGGTTGCTACCTCTCCCTTTTGCTTCCCACTTCCACCCTCCACTAAGGACCCATTGCTTACATTTTAACAAAATTGGTGAAGGTGATTTCATGACACCATCAAAGAACTGAATTTGGGCACCCATGTAGCTTTCATTGTGTCTGCTATTCCTGAGAAAC